ACATGGTGAAACCCTGTCTCTACCAAAAAATACAAAAATTACCAGGCATGGTGGCAGGCACACTGTAGTTCCCAGCTACTCAGGAGGCTGATGCAGTAGAATCGCATGAACCTAGGAGGCTGAGGCTGCAGTGAGCCAAGATCATGTCACTGCACTCCAGCCTGGGCAACAAGAGCAAGACCCCATCTCAAAAAAAAAAAAAAAAGCAAAAGACCAAAAAAAAATCAGCACTGGGGCCTCCCCTGGCTCACTAGCAGTGGCTGTGGCAGTGGCAGGGCCAGCACTGTTTGACGTTTTCTTTTTTTTTTCTGAGATGGAGTCTTTGTCTGTCCACCAGGCTGGAGGGCAGCGGCGCAGTTTCGTTCACTGCAACCTCTGCTCCCGGATTCAAGCAATTCCCGTGCTTCAGCTCTGGAGTAGCCTGGGATTACAGGCGTCCACCATCTACACTCAGCTAATTTTTGTATTTTTAGTAGAGACGGGTTTTACCATCTTGGCCAGTCTGTGTTCTTGAACCACTGACCTCGTGATCTACCTGCCTCAAGCCTCCCAAAGTGCTGGATTACAGGTGTGAGCCACCACCTGCGCCCAGCCTGCTTGATGTTTTCCATCTGTCCCAAGGCCTGAAAGTGGGATGAGTACGTGGAGAAGGCTGGACGCTGTTGCCACTCTCTAGATAGCGCGAGCCCAACAGTCATCACCACCTGCCTGGCCCTGGGTACCCGCCGGATGGCAAAGAAGAACGCCATTGTAAGGAGCTTGCCCTCCGTAGAGACCCTGGGCTGCACCTCTGTCATCTGTTCCGACAAGACAGGCACCCTCACCACCAACCAGATGTCTGTCTGCAAGGTCAGGAGCAGTGTGGGCAGCGCACTCAGTCAGAAGGCTGCCTGTGGGGGTAAAATGGGCCCTCCAAAGATAGAGGTCTCCCTTCATCACTGCTGGCTTCTCATCTGGGCCTGCAAAATGCTCAAAGGGCAGTAGAACACCATCCTGTCTGCCATGAAGGGGATCAGAGAGGACCCTTGTGTCCCAGCCAGACAGCTCACTCTGACAACCATCCATGCACCAGGCACTGCCACACATTGTCTCTCATCCCCCACAATAGCCCATTCAGAGGACGGTCTCATTAACTTCATTTTTTTTAATTAAAGAAAATTATTATGATTTTGAGACAGAGTCTCACTCTGTCACGCACGCTGGAGTGCAGTGGTGTGATCTTGGCTCACTGCAACCTCTGCCTCCCGGATTCAAGCAATTCCCTGCTTCAGCCTCTGGAGTAGCTGGGATTACAGGCGTCCACCATCACACTCAGCTAATTTTTGTATTTTTAGTAGAGACAGGGTTTTACCATCTTGGCCAGGCTGGTCTTGAACTCCTGACCTCGTGATCTACCTGCCTCAGCCTCCCAAAGTGCTGGGATTACAGGTGTGAGCCACCCACTGCGCCCAGCCTGCTTGATGTTTCCATCTGTCCCAAGCCTGAAATGGGATGAGTAGTGGGAGAAGGCTGGACGCTGTTGCCCACTCTCTAGATAGCCGCGAGCCCACCCCTTCCACATGGACATAGGGTCACACACACCTCGAGAACTGTCCTGTCTCCTTCAGCCTCCTAAAAAATCCTCCAGGGAGGAGACATGAGATTCTACGACAAGATAGGGGGTTCAGATACACTGAAAACCATGGCTGCTAGGCAGGGCGTGGTGGCTCATACCTGTAATCCCAGTGCTTTGGGAGGCTGAGGCAGGAGAATTACTTGAGGTCAGGAGTTTGAGACCAGCCTGGGCAACACAGCGAGACCCCATCTCTAGAAAAAAGTTTTAAAAAATTAGCTGGGTGTGGTGATGTGCACCTGTAGTCCCAGCTACTTGGGAGGCTGAGGTGGGAAGGATTGCCTAAGCCCAGAAGCTTGAGGCCACAGTGAGCTATGATTACCACAGCAGTCCAGCATGGACAACAGAGCAAGACCCCATCTCTATAAATTTTTTTCTTTAATTAGTTGGGCATTGTGCTGCACACCTGTAGTCCCAGTTGTTTGGGAGGCTGGGGTGGGAGGATCACTTGAGCCCAAGAGTTTGAGGTTGTAGTGAGTTATGATCACACCACTGCATTCTAGCCTGGGCAACAGAGCAAGACCCTGTCTCTATAAAACCACCGTAGCTGCTTCTGTTTCTGCACTGGCAGGGAGAAGTGAAGAAGAGGCAGAAAACATTCCCCATGGTCCCAGGGGTCAAGGGCTAGGCTGGCCCAGGCCTGCTGCTGAGCCCCTGCTCTTAGGGTGAGGGAGGCATGGTTCTAAGGGTGGGCCCCCCTTCCTCCCAGAAACATGCTTGACAGTTGAAAGTGTGGTTCCAAATATGTCCACTTATTTGATTTTTACCCAATATATTGTTTTGCAGTGTACATGTCCTTGTCCCCATTTTACAGAGGAGCACATGGAAGTTAGGTGATCAGTCACACAGCTTGTTAGTGGTCAAGCCGGGCTCGGGTTTTTTTTTTTTTTTTTTTGAGACGGAGTCTTGCTCTGTCGCCCAGGCTGGAGTGCAGTGGCCGGATCTCAGCTCACTGCAAGCTCCGCCTCCGGGGTTTACGCCATTCTCCTGCCTTAGCCTCCCAAGTAGCTGGGACTACAGGCGCCCGCCACCGCGCCCGGCTAGTTTTTTGTATTTTTTAGTAGAGATGGGGTTTCACCGTGTTAGCCAGGATGGTCTCGATCTCCTGACCTCGTGATCCACCCATCTCGGCCTCCCAAAGTGCTGGCATTACAGGCTTGAGCCACCGCGCCCGGCTCAAGGTCTTTTTAAGAGCAGTAGACTTCTGGCCGGGCACAGTGACCTGTAATCCCAGCACTTTGGGAGGCTGAGGTGGGCAGATCACTTGAGGTCAGGAGTTCGAGACCAGCCTGGCCAACATGGTGAGACCCCGTCTTTACTAAAAATACAAAAAAAAATTAGGCAAGTGTGATGGCATGTGCCTGTAATCCCAGCTACTTGGGAGGCTGAGGCAGGAGAATTGCCTGAACCTGGGAGGCAGAGGTTGCAGTGAGCTGAGATCTTGACACTGCACTCCAGCCTGGGTAACAAAATCGAAACTCTGTCTCAAAAAAAAAAAAAAAAAAAAAAAAAAAGGAGCAATGGACTTCCTAGCTGCCTTCAGTGGCTTCTTCCAGAGTCCAGACATCCCCCAGGATGGCTACTTGGTCCTTACCAGGAGCTGTCCTGCTGAGCAGGGAGTTAGGCGCGGGAAGCCTGGGAGAAGGACATGATGTCATCTAAAAACCCCTTGGCCCCTTCTCCACAGGCGAGTCTGTATCTGTCATCAAGCACACGGAGCCCGTTCCTGACCCCCGAGCTGTCAACCAGGACAAGAAGAACATGCTTTTCTCGGTGAGCAATCTGGGACCAGCTGTCACATGCTTAGTCAAGCCAGGTGCCCGGGTTGGAGAGAAACATGGCGGTGTGAGAAGAGATGGCGTGGGGGAATGCGGCATGAAGGTCACCTCTTGCCTGATTCCCTGCCTTCTCTTTCCCTTCCCAGGGCACCAACATTGCAGCTGGCAAGGCCTTGGGCATTGTGGCCACCACCGGCGTGGGCACTGAGATTGGGAAGATCCGAGACCAAATGGCTGCCACAGAACAGGACAAGACCCCTTTGCAGCAGAAGCTGGATGAGTTTGGGGAGCAGCTCTCCAAGGTCATCTCCCTCATCTGTGTGGCTGTCTGGCTCATCAACATTGGCCACTTCAACGACCCTGTCCATGGGGGCTCCTGGATCCGCGGGGCCATCTACTACTTTAAGATTGCTGTGGCCTTGGCTGTGGCTGCCATCCCCGAAGGTACGAAAGCCTTTCTTTTCTCCTCCCATTTGCAATCCCATCTGCAAAGACTGAACCAACACACACACTCAACCCTTTTTCTTTCTTTATTTCATTTTTAATTTGTTTCTTTTTTGTTTTTTGAGACAGATCTGCTTCTGTCACCCAGGCTGGAGTGCAGTGGTGTGATCTTCGGCTCACTGTAAGCTACGCTCCCGCGTTCTAGCATTCTCTGCTCAGCCTCGCAGACTGGGACCCAGACAGGGCGCATGCCTGGCTAATTTTTTTTATTTCTAGTAGAGCACCGGGGGTTTCACTGTGTTATATGCCAGGATGGTCTCATCTGATCGTGATCTGCCCGCCTCGGCCTCCCAAAGTGCTGGGATTACAGGCGTGAGCCACTGTGCCCGGCATTTTTTTTTTTTTTTTTTTTTTTTTTGAGATCGAATCTCTCTCTGTCACCCAGGCTGGAGTTGCAGTGGCACAATCTTGGCCTCAGTGGCAACCTCTTCCTCCTGGGTTCAAGTGATTCTCCTGCCTCTGCCTCCCAAGTAGCTGGGATTACAGGTGCACGCCCCCAGGCCTGGCTAATTTTTGTGTTTTCAGCAGAGATGAGGTTTCACCATGTTGGCCAGGCTGGTCTCGAACTCTGGGCTCAAGCAATCCACCTGCCTTGGCCTCCCAAAGTGCTGGGGTTACAGGCATGAGCCACCACGCCCGGCCCAAAGAACCCTTTTCCAAGTAAGGTAACATTTACAGGCTCCAGGGATTAGGATCTGGTATCTTTAGGGACCATTATTGTTTGTTTGTTTGTTTGTTTAATAGAGACAAGGTCTCACTCTTGTTGCCCAGGCTGGAGCATGGTATCACAATCATAACTCACTGTAATCTCAAACTCCTGGATTCAAACAATCCTCTTGTTCCAGCCTCCCAAGTAGCTGGTACCATAGGCAATCACCACCATGCCCAGCTAATTTTTAAATCGGCCCTGTTTATTTTATTAATAATGCATTTGAAATATTATCCTGAGAAAGAGCCAACTGCAAAGGGGGTGTGAGGCACAGAAAAGATTAAGAGCGCATGCTTTTTAGGAAATGGCTCTTCACGGTCCAGTTTGGGCAGGCTGGGGGCGGGCCCCCTGATCAATGAGTGACCCATTTGAGGCGAGAGGCCATCGACGTTCACAGGGCAGAAGCCTTTGGGGCACACCAAGACTTGAGGTTTGAAACTCAACTCTGTTACTTTTTAACCCTGTGCATCCTGTGGGGGAGAGTCATGCTTAATCTCTCAGCCTTTTTTCTCTTCTAAAAAAGTGAAGTTAAGCGCTTGGAGTGCATGTGGTCTCACAACCCTAATAATCCCAGGTACTTTTGCGGAAGCCAAGCGGGGGCCCACCAACACTTAGACGGCCAGGGAGTTTTAGGACCAGCCTGGCGCAAACTAATGGAACTCCTGTCTCTATTTGAAAATGGCAAAAAAATTAGTCCGGGCATGGTGTGCAGGCCCACCTGTAGTCCAGCTTACTAGGGAGGCTAAGGCAGGGTGAATGCGCTTGAGCCAGGATGGCACCAGAGTTGCAGTGAGCGCCAAAGATCACACCACTGCCACTCCCAGCGGTGCGTGACAGAGTGAGACTCTGTCTCAAAAGTCCATAATAATTTTCTTTAATATAAAAAAAAATGAAGTTAATGAGACCCGTCCTCTGAATGGGCTATTGTGGGGGATGGAGAGACGAGATGTAGTGGCCAGTGGCCCTGGTGCATGGATGGTTGTCAGAGGCTGAGCTGTCTGGGCTGGGAAACAAGGGTCCTCTCTGATCGCCCTTCATGGCGACGAGGATGGTGTTCTACTGCCCTCTTGAGGCATTTTGCAGGCCCCAGATGAGAAAGCCAGCCAGTGATGAAGGGAGAACCTCTATCTTTGCAGGCGCCGCATTTCTTACACCCCCACAGGCAGGCCTTCTGACTGAGTGCGCTTGCCCACCTGCTCCTGACCTTGCAGACAGACATCTGGTTTGGTGGTGAGGGTGCCTGTCTTGTCGGAACAGATGACAGAGGGTGCAGGCCCAGGGTCCTACGGAGCGGCAAGCTCCTTAGCAATGGCGTTCTTCTTTGCCATCCGGCGGGTACCCAGCAGGGCCAGGGCAGGTGGTGATGACTGCAGGAAGACCTGTGGGGAGGGGATGGGAGGGTGTGAGGGAACCTGCAACGGGAGGTAGGGTGTGTGGTCTGCTAGCTCTGCTAAATAGTAGGCCCCCAGCTACTATCTGGTGCACACCGCTGTAATCCTAGCACTTTGGGAGGCTGAGGTGGGAGGATCACTTGAGGTCAGGAGTTTGAGACCAACCTGGGCAACACAGCGAGACTCCTCTGATAA